AACGGTACTGTTTAGCAATTGCCCTTAGTAAGGAGCCTGTGAAATTTTTCCCTTGATCCGTCAGAWTTRAGCGTRRCGCTCCGAATATATTACAAAAATTATGGACCATGCCCTCCGCAACATCAACTGATGTAGCAGTCTTCAGAGCCACTGCAACGAAAAATTTTGTTAGTTAATCCTGTATGGTGAGAATATATTTATTGCCATTTTCTGTTTCCGGAATTGGTCCAACAATCTCCATGGCAATTTTGTCGAATGCCGCTCCTGGCGTATCGGTTAGTATCATTGGCTTCTTGGACTTTATTCTAACTAATTTCTATAATTGACATCCTTCGCAATTTCTAATGTATTCTTGTATGTCTTTTCTCATATTGGGCCTATGATACCCCTTCCAAATTCTGTTATAAGTTTTTGTTACACCCTTATGTCCACCGATAGCCGAAGAGTTGCATTCCGCAAGAATGTCATCACGCTTTTCCTGTTCTAGGATTAGAATTTCATTAGGACAAATTTATATTTTGCAAATTTCAGATTCAAAAGTATTTTAAAGTTTCCTTTGGATATGTGACCATGAGATGCCATCGATATTATTTGTTTCAGAAATACTTACAGATTTAAGTTCCAATTCGCGGGCAACAGAAAGTAAAGCGCCAATTGCCTCTACCAGAGTTTCGAATTTTGTAGAGTTTTAAGCTTGTTTCTTTATAGGTATTATTACCAGTTTATATTTTCCGATGTTAGTTACCCCAGCCTGAGCTAACACCAAATGTTCCGATTTCAGGAGCCGTTTGGCTTTATTCAAAGTTTAGCGCCATCGTCACAAGGTGTACCGCTGAGATCCGTAAATACTATCAAATTATCTCGCCCCAAATGCAGAGAGTTCCTTGTCTCGAATATATTTTCCGTTATCATTCTTGAACGCATATCTACTCTTGTCGGTGTGTACGGAGGAAACAATTTATCGTAGTCAGCTGAGTAACTGGCACTCCCGACGTCAGAGTATTAATTGTCTGTTTCTGTTATCTTAGCGTCAGCTGTCGAGGGTAACGTCACGTCAAAATCGTCTGTCCCGTCAGCTGTTTCGTCGAGGTCATAGTYTTCGTTTTCTGTTAATGCGCGTCTGACATTGAACATAAAAGGGCTGTCGTCCGAATCGTCCGCATATACAGAAAGTACGCTCCTCGTCTCTACTGGATTTCGGGATAAGGCATCCGCGTTAGCATTGGCAATTCCGGGCTTATACACAATTTTGAACGAATAGTCAGCTTACTTCAAAATCCATTTTACGAGTCTCGAAGTCGGATCTTTAATTGACTTGAGCCAAACTAGCAGTTTGTGATCAGTTATCAGAGTAAACTCCCGCCCGTATAAATAAGGCCTAAAATAACTTGTCGCATATACTACTACCAGAAGTTCTCTTTCAATTGTAGAGTAGTTTATTTCTGCTTTATACAAAATTCGCGAGCAGTATTAGACAGGCAGATCCTTCCCGACAGGACCCTGACTCAAGACGGCACCAATTGCATATCCGAAAGCATCCGTTGCCACGTTAAAGGGCAAGTTCCAATTTGGAAACTGTAGTATCGGTTCCCTGCACAATGAGTCACTTAACGAGCACAATGCATTTTCTTGGGTACTTTCCCAGTGAAATGAAACATCCTTTTTTAATAAATTTGTCAATGGTTTAGCAACCTTAGAAAAGGCAGGAATAAACCTTCTATAATTTCCGGCAAGTCCCAAAAATTGTCGAACAGATTTAGCATTTTT